CTAAGTGTGATAATGAAGTATTTTGCAGCAATGCTTTGTATAAAAGAAAATGCCCAACAATTAGACGGTAAAGGAAATAGTGATCTTCTCTGCTATTATTTTTTCTTGTCATTGTATTTTGCCACAAAAGACCTTCTGCAGCATAAAGATAATAAATGGATAATGCAAAAGATAACATTTAACATTATGGAAACAATTGTATTATATTTTTGTCTAATGATAAGAGATTGGAATACAAAAATGAGTTATTATTTGGGCTTCTGGATATCTCACAGAATCTGTAGGAAGGCAGAGAGTGCTTTCAAAAGGTGAATAAATGCTCATGATTTACCACACAAGGTAATACGTGTAAGAGTGTCTCCTAATTTACAAACTCATATATGAATAAGATAGATGCTTCAATCATATTATTGTAACTCTAGGCAAGAATAGGAGGGCATCTAGTTTTAGGAGCATTAGCTTCTTGCCAGAGGGCTGGACTCCAGCTTTCATAAAGATTACAAAAACAAGTTAAAGCTTCTTTTCTCAATTCTTAGTACCAATTTGCCATTCATTCATTCATTCATTCATTCATTCATGTATTCAATCACTCATGTCTTCACCAATGGTATTTTACTGGGAAGTATTATCTTAATTTTGAGAATAGGTATTTTCTAAATGTTTTTGGTAAAATATATTTTATGAATATTTTGTCAATCTAGTAATAAATTTTAGGAGCTAGTAGAGTAAATTAGATTAGATTAGATTGTCTATTATTAGATAATAATTTGTAAACTCAAAAGTTGGGTTATCTATGTAGGTATCCATTTGAAATAGTTTTACGGGTATGTGAAATGCAAAATCTGGGATGCAATAGTTTAAATAAACTCCGGTAACAAAAAATGAAAAAAACTTTTTTTATTTTTTGGTGCACACAGTACTAGGAAAGGTGTGTTCAGCATCCATATTTTGAACATATAATTTGTATTTGAATATCTATTTTAAAGATGATGTAGATAGTTAAGTGTTACTTATACAATGTACAGCAGGTGGTAATATTCATCTT